CTCTTTCATTGCAAACAAAAAAATTGTTCAGAACGGTTGTTTCAGTGTCTTTCAATTTGCAATTTTACTATTAGATCGAAATGGCTATCAGTTCTTGATATATTTACTCTTTTTTCCACCTTCCACTACCGTTTTTATTCTCAACATATTTCGATACTTTTTCGATCCCCATGTAACATTGTTTTTTTTATTATCATCAATTTAACTTGTTTTCACAATTATTTCGTGATGAATTATTGATGTTTATTGTCAAATTTTGTGGTGAAAAGTTGGCAGTTCCAAACGGGAATGGTAACGATTCGGTAGTCATCAGGTCAGCATTAGTCCTGCACATAAATATGTTGCCTTTGATAGCATTTTGGTGTTTTTTTCACATACATCTGTGTCAATCATTAGAGTGAAGCTGCGGTATGATTTTTGTGGTTTAAATTGTTGAGAAATGAAGCATTTAGTTATCCTTTCTATGCACTAATTTACAGCTCACCTGATATTACTAATTGTTAATTGCCTATTAGATTTAGCTTCATGTAGTAACTAGATCTGTTAAGTGGTTAACATTATGACTAGATGCCGAGTACTGGGTAAAGATGGCAAGTCGATTCATAAGTTTCAGAGCATTCATCGATTAGTATAGTTAAGACGTATAATTTACATGCCCAGCCACCACCTGCTCGACTGCACAGTAGTAGACAACATGGGGATAAATTAAAAGGTATCCTATTGGTGACCAAATCAAGATGTTACATCAGTCCGTTGATTCAAGCTGTGTCGTTAAGTTCAGACTGCTAATTTGGGGCTTGGCGTAATAACCGTTGCCCGAAATTGGAAATTTTGTATGAATTGGCTCCAATTCGGTCATGGTGACCTGGACGCATCTATTTTTATCTTTCACCCTACCTTTTATTCGATCGTTTTATTTGTTAATTCTGAACCGAATTTACTATGTTTGGTTTGCCACTATAATGAGTATTGTTAATTCTGCTGTTTTCTTCTAGTTTATTTCCTCTCTGCATTAATACAAAATAAGTTGGACAGATAAATATTTCTAACTGGTTCTTTTTCTACAACTGACAATAAGCTTGGGAACTATCTAGTCATTTACTTGTAGAAAATGTTGGCCACATTTTCAATGTGTGAACTCGTATTTAGGGGGATATTTACTTCAAAACAAGTGTTGCATTTACATACTGAATGTTATGACATGAGGTTGATGTTCCACTCACACTTTTCAGTCGTCAGTGACGTGTTAATTTAGTCATCTGTTACTAGCGAACACTTAATCATCAGAAATTTAATGCTTTTTCGGCATTTATGATTTTTACTGTCTCTGTCGTACTATTACATACGTTAGATGAGGAATTTTAGTCTACTTGCTTAGAATTTCTTTATTCACAACTTTCAGTTGATAAGTAGGTGTCATTACCAAGGTTTTATTTGATCCAATTTTCTACTCATTGGGATATTACAAATATATTATTTTTATTTCAGTTGATAACATCAAAATTGTTAATCCCATACATTGGCTAAAAAATTCTATATTTTTTTCTTGTACATAGACTTTAGTGAGTTTTTGGTCAGGTGACATTGTAACACTTTATTGAACTAAGTATGAAACAATAAATGAAGCATTTCAGTTGAACTCAGTCTCATATTGGGGCGATAGTTAACACTAGACGACTATACAAACTCATCCAGGAAGCATGTATTGAAAATTCGGCTATTAGTTGAACTATTTCAGAAAAAGATGGAACTATCGTTCACTCAGTTAAGATGATTGTAGAAACGGGTGTAACATTGAAAATCAGATCAACCAACTTCCAGTTATCCATTATTTTCAAATCCTCGGAACTTATATCGCTGCTGTTCAAAGAGTTACCACGACATTGTAGGTTTACTTAAGGTTGATAGTTCTGTCTTAATAGTTAAGTTAACCTAATTGGTAGTTAAAGTCTAGGAGCTAGAAGTAATCCGATCTCACTGGTTTTTACCATTATTCGTCTCAGTCTATAAAAAATTCCCCTTATCGAAATTCAAGAGGAATCAATTTAAGTAACTAAAACATGCGCTTCTATAGACATGATCAGTGGCAGAATTACCAACATCCTAATACAGTTTTTTATTATTTATTTATTTTATTTTTATTTGAACACAAATATTGGTACTAGAGGGCACCATATATATATATATATATATATATATATATATATATATATATATATATATATGCGCCATATGAAAGCTTTTTGAAGCGACAGATGGAGAGCGAATTTGTAGTACTTCACTAGAGTCTTGAATACGGGTCTCGGATAGACAACAAACGTCGATATTAAGACTTTCCTAAGACATAGCCAGCCCTATCTGTTGTCCGACCTGCATAAGGGTGCGAACGTTGAAGGCAGTCGGTTTGAATGGTGCACGTGGTTTCAGAAAACTGCTTCAGTATTCGTATTTGGTGGTAGCATACAATTTTCAACCAGGCAGCGGCTCGAGAACGTTTAGATAGAACCGAGTTTTCACCATAGGTGAGCTGCTGTATAATTCAAAAAATAAAAGAGAGTGAATAAGTGACTTTAAAAAATAATAACAATTGTAATAGTAATAATGTGAATCGTTTGATTGTTGATCGAAGCAAGACAAGTATTTTCCATAAATATCGACACTTCATCATATTTGTGTGTGGGCTGTAATACTACCCGGGTACCCAGACCGAAGCAGGTGGTTTTCTTAGGGAGCCACACCCCGAGCCTTTGACCTAAAGGTCTGACCCCCAAGGAGGAGGACCATCGTGAGGAGATGCAGTCCCATGGTAGCCGGTGACCAACGATTGGTTCATACACCATTTGTTCCTTCAGGATACTGGAGCCCATGTGCACCATTGGTTTGGAATCCGGTTAAAGCGCCGAACATTCGCTTTTCGTCCTCTCAATTTCGTAAACAACACCCCCCACGAATAGGCAGTGAGTAGGACTTCCCTGGCAGAGGCTGAATACGCGTGACCGTGTGAGAGCATTTCGAAAGAGAGGGCGGGACCACCCCACTCTCGGCCATACCAGGGCATTTAGGGTTTTGTTATTTGATTTTGAACCAGCACTGAAATATGCCGGCCAAGTTTTGTGGAGGTTGTGGGCATTACAAAGTACAATAAAGTATATAAACCTTGTAAATACATTTTAATCGGCCACTGTTGGTTGAGTCAGAAATTGTTTCAGGCTGTCATCTAAGTTAGCAACCTCATATGGTGCTTGTCACAGTTGTCCACTGTCCATTTTAATTTAATTTCATATATTTAGAATAGCATCGTTCTCATCTAATTTTTCAAAGATTAACCCCCTTTCTGGGAACTCACTTGTCACCATGGTGTAATACAGAGGTGATACATTCCTCTTAAATGAGTTCGCTAGCTAAAAGTAGTCTCGCGAACATCTTGAACAACAATAAAGACACATTTTTTCCTCCAGATCCCAAGTGTTTCTTGGTTTACACCGTTGGATATTGTACCGAGTGAGTACGGTTGTCATTCGGACTCACCGACCGCTTTATCTTATCGGCCTTAGAGGTGTTCATCTGATAACCAGGATCAGTAAAGAATTGGATTGACTACCAAGAATTTATCTCAGTGAAACTGATGTATTTACCTTTTATCTTCCATTAGATCCTGATTTTTATTATTCATAAATACCTTCGTCTCATTCCTTCTCGAACCATATGCACAGCGATTTGTGCTTTGTACCATCATCGATAGTACTATTTTGTTTCCTTTGAAATATATCTTGTTAATTACATCTCTTTGTGTAGATGGGGTTTGGCAACCTGAACAGACACTGGCCCTTTGTTTATGACTAACTGCTTGTATGTCCTATAGGACTGTGTTTTACATGAGAAACATGTATAATATTATTTTCACGAGTGTTCCTAAAGAATGTTCCATGAAATCAAAATTATTCTATTTCATAACTTGACCAAATTAGACGTTTCTTCTGTTCATATTTTGTTTGTGAAAACTCAATTTCCGTGCGTATTTTTGATGTTGCTATATGACACTAAGACACTGTCGTCTAACCTAAAGGATTTAGAACATTGAATGTTTGTTTTTCAGCTATCACAAAAACATCTAAACACTATTAATTGTAGTCACTGTCAAAATGTTCACGTGCTCGTTGACCTTTCTCACAGTGTAGATATTCTCAGCTGCACTACAGCTTTTGTTCATACAGCTGTCCAACCTATCTTCATTTGATGGGCCTCTAGATGAGCCTATGTTAATCTGTGGAAAGAAGATTGCTTCTCCTCACTATAGGTTTGGAGAGATTATTGAATTTGAGATCACCGATCGATTCAAATTAGATAACCATTTAAAACTTGGATGCACTGGGCGGTCATTTTGTTTTATTATGGAACTCCTCTGTAGTGCACATCCACGATCCACGAACGGGAATCGAGCAAAGGACCTTTGTTCCCGCGCACGAACACTTGAACTCTAAATTGCAAAGCTGGCATCCAACGGGGTTAGTGTCTAACTTCAATCCATGCACGAAATTTCACGACCGTCTTCCATTGTCTTTGATGAGTAACTACCTCACACCCGACTCAGTCGAACCCGATTGGTCACATCTCACTAAAACTGGAAATTTCCTTTTAGAGCTAGTCTTTGGTAAGCAAATAATCATTTACCGGTCACCCTTTTGTCCGAATATATATTTCTGCTGAATTTCAAGAGCACAATCCACATGTACGTTATTGGTCATAACATTCGTGCTTAGGCATAAGAGAACCCTATGTTTACATTTTCTGTAATCAATACAGTGTTTCGATGGTTTAATAAAAAAGCATTCTGTTTTTTTACTTAGGCTACAATAAAATAGCTCGAATTAAAGTTCAATTCGTAATAGGGTTTTTTAAACATTTCATTGAAATTGACCAACCTATAATTGCAGTTATCATTAATATTATTTGTCTTGTCAGATTAATTCTATGGTAATTTCATTTTTCATTTTACCCAGGACAAGAAGATTATCCCGTCTATAATGATATAGATGTTTTGATATCTGTTGATTTAAGCTCAAATAGTTCAACATTTCAAAAAGTGAAATCAGCTGTGCTGAATGCGTTGATAAGTTTCTTGCCAGAAGACAAAATAATAGAACCCTCTCAGCAGCATGATATTTCCAGTCAACCTCAAATTAACTCAAGTTGTGATCTCCAATCTGACGATAATGTTCCAACAGTACCAGGACGTGGTCAAGAAATGTCACCTAACAGTTCACCTGTAACAATTAAGAGTCATTTCAGTTCTACGGAGTTGAGGCATATTGACAATGGGAAAGTGAACAATACTATAAATTCGAATTCTACTGAAAAAGAATTTGGTAAAACTGTTGAACTTAAACGCATGAACGATATCACTCAGAATCAATGTGGTGTTCAGACGCTTGGTATCTCACGTCCCAACCTTGTTGAGTGTTCCTGTCAAAGACAACGGAATAATCCTAAACCGATATATTTCCCTCATTTATCCTTTATGCATCCAGGGCAGCAATCTATCTACAATACTCATTCCCCATTCAACAATCTTAATGTAAACGCTATGTACAGTATTCAAAGTTCTGCTTCCGCTCCTAATAGTTCTAGCCATTCAGATGGATTTAGTTTACGCGAGTCATATGTGTACAAACAATTCCGTAAATTTAGTCAAGATGATGATTGTTGGTCACTTTTATCCCTTGGTTTCCCTTCTTCCGATTCAAAAGTAATTGAATTCAAATTTGTTGATCGAATGAAACGTCAGTTTGAATTTACCGTTGATAGTTTTCAAATAGTTTTAGATCCTTGTTAACATTTTATGAATCCAATTCAGGAAAAAGCATAACTCCACACTTTTATCCGACAATTGTTGCTGAATCAGTATCTGGATCGTTTTCAGAAGCATTTTATCACTTAGAGAATAAACTAATTGCAACCACTGAACCAGAAATGATTCGTGGAGGTGGTCTTTTGAAATACTGTCGACTTCTGGTTAGTGGATATAAACCTGCTGAAGGAGTTGACGTATATACACTTGAAAAATACATGAGTTCCAGATTTTTTATTGATTTTCAAGATTTATCCAGTCAAAAAGTTAAATTAGAAGCTTTTTTAGCGAATCATTTTGCAGAGCATGAAATTTCTTTAAAAATCAATTATTTACGCATTTTATATCAAGTTGTAAGTGGTTCCACTATATGTCTTATGTCTCATGAACATTTTCAAACTTTAAATCTTATCGGAGAACTGTTACGCTATCTTATGTATTATTATTATTATTACCATTTTAATCGTTCATCTTTAAGTTTGGAATGGTTCGCTGAAAAACAAAATCTTGTTCTAGATAAAATTTATTTTGGTACACAGCTTTTTCCTGTAATTTCAAGAAGTGAATCTTATTCAAAAAATTGTTTTTGTTTTTACAAGCATAATAAATCATCATCTGATCTTTCTACGATTCCTCTGAATGTTGCTAAATTTTCATCAACAAATTCTAATTGTAATTCTACTGAAATCTTTTCATCAACAAAGTCAACATTTGACACAGATAATGATCCTACCAGTGATAACATTGTAGAAGAAAAAACAAATGAATTGAAATTGGACTTGCCTACAGAGTGTGACGAATCATCATCAACTGACTGATTAACTGTATGAGACTATGATGTTTAAATCAGCTTTAAAAAAACTGTTTATGTACTTCATTGAAATTGTTCTGTTCTATGCAAACCGTTGTTATCTACATACTGTTTTGTATGTTGGTGTGTTCATGTATATGTGTAGGTTCACATTGATGTATGTTTTCATCAATTATAGAGTAATTTTGTATTATTTTTTTTTATTTTACTGTTTGTGTTGTCGTATTCATATATTGTCTGTCGATAAAATACATAAACAGAATAACCTGTTTTGTTCAACTTTGTTTCATACTCATTCATATAATAATAAGCATTTACTGATTGTACACATATATGTGATGAAAATGCAAGTAACATAATCGATTTGATTTTCATAGATTATAATTGTTCGAATACGAAATTTAATTCCACGAAATAGTGAATTTATTAGCGGAAAAAATGTTTATCAATGTCATGATTCATTGCAAACAGAAGAAAAAGGAGTGACATGAAAAAATAACACTGGAATACAAAAAAATTCAACCCGGTGATGGGTGTACTGTAATTATTTGTCTCTATATGTTTGTGTATTTCTATTTAACATTACCGAGTTGTGTTAATCTCTACTTGCACCCTCCTTGTGTTCTTTTTCTTTTGTCTTTCATCGTTGCTCCTATGTTGGATCTTTATTTCTTGTACAAAAATCTTCTCTGGGTCTGTGTATCTGTATTAAATATTCAATACAAAACTAGTACTAATGTTACTGCAAATAACAAACGGATGTGTTGTGAATCGGAAATTCTTGCTTGCACACACGTACAGCTTTCAGTATCTGTCACAAATCTCCAGTATTGTTTGTATTGAGCTCTGTTCTCTTTCCGAAAGCTTCTCTGCTTCATTAACATGAATACTTTTTTAGCCATTATTTTTTTACAGTCATGAAGATCGTCAATTAAGTCTTACGAATATGTATATTCACCCTTGAAATATGACTGATTTTCAAAGCGGCTTTGTTCTCTATTTACATTTTCTGTAATCTGCTTATCATCAGTATTCTAGACTAATTGGAAAGGATTATTCAATTAAGACATTAACTCTCAGTCGTCTCATGTAATAATAATGTATGAACATGAATAAGTATTCAAGAAATTCCTTAGCCATGTATTATAGTTAAAATGCATCTGTTATTATTTCATGGTTGGTCTAGTTGATCGTCTTGTTTGTAATAATTGTTTCGTACACTCAACATGCCCTCCCTCTACAATACACAACCATCTATTTTTACATCCATGTAAGTATTAATTTCCAGTGGATATTTTTCTTAGCTACATGACTACATGTCTTATCAAAAGAGAAGTTATTTTATCGATGATATCTCTTAATATGGATGTCCGTACAAAATGATGCAGCTGTTCTCTCTACATATGTGGATTGTACACATCAAAAACATTCATTTACTTTAACTGGTTTCTGAATCTATTACTGTTATCATTACCATTATTACTACTATTACTATTTGTTATATAACACATTGTTTTCTGTTTTTAATTTGTCTGTGATCTATTTTGTCCTTGTGGTGATTATCATTCTAAATTAATCAATCGATCAAAAAAAAAACATTACACAAGAAAATATCCATATTTGTATTTGTCTATTGTTTATTTTGTGTGTGTGTTTGTGGTTGATATTGCCATCGTTATTGTCAAAATAATAATTATTATAATAATACTTATTGTTACTACTTCTGCTAATCTATCATCACTACTACGATTATTATGAGTACACCAGATTCTCTGACAATCTTTTTTTTTCAAAATGAGGCAAAAATTGCCCATATTTACTATCAATATTATTTGAAAAAAGAAATAATACAGTGATCTAATTACTTATTTTTCAAAATAAATACATTCTCCTGTAAATACTAAATCATTCGAGTTCATGATGATCATAGCGTGTTGATTATCATGTTTATATTGTTTCGTAGAATTCTCGATTAGTCTAGATTGATCAAAAAAAGCATTCACACTATTAGGATGCCTAAATGTCTAATCGCTTAAGTCATATTGTGTTTTTTTAATGTACAAAGACTATACCATATTTCATATCGTTTATTTATCGGGATTTGATACTATTCTCTTTAATTTGACGCAATATTTTAGTTTTCTATGTAGTATTTCACAAAATGGTGATTTACATGGTTTCCTCGATTAAACTTGACAACATTTATCATTGTGTCTTGTTGGTCCACTTTTATCAATGTTAATTATTTAAAGTATATAAAATGCCTTTGGTTTGTGATGGTAATTTCCAGTACTGTTTTTTAATAACCAAGGGATGGAATTTATTCTCTAACTAAGCTTTCTCCATTCGTTCGGCCTTGTGTCTGACCGTCAAGTGGATTTAAGACATCGAAGTGGTTTTTATCTTACTATAGTTATCCATCTAACAGTTTTTGTTACATTGCGATCCCATCCAATAGTAATATTTATTGTTTAATTGTTTCTACTGACAGGTTATGTTCATTTGTTGTACTCTTCCCGTTAGTTGCTATTACTTGATATTTGATAGCTATAGAAAAGCAACCATTGTTATACGTCTGTCTACTTTATTTTTACATGGACATCCATGTTCTCACTAACCGTGTTTGTCACTCAATTTTATCAAATCATTATCTATCAGGTTTTACATCTCGGTAGAACTATTACTTATTATTATCGGAACTACGGTTAATAGATGTTCACTAAATTTTTGACAAACTGTGAACTTGAACAGAACGTAAATGATTGTCAACTTTATTCTATAGAGTTTCATCAGCTTCCCTTGCATCTAGAAATAGTGTTAATATTCTGAGACCGAGTTTTGTAAGTCTTATTTCCTCTGATAGGAACATGATATTATATGTTTTGACAAACTTTACATCTCATATTAGTAGAATCGTAAACTCAACGCCAGCTGTTCACAATGAAATATTAGATACTTTTTAACTTAATAGTTGATCTTTCTCATATTACAGTATTTAAGGGAACGAACCTATCTGGTCCAATGTGAATTAACTTGTTTAGCTTACTATGAAAGCTTTAAATATCCTACTTGTCATCAAGTAAATACAAAACCATGAACAGCTTCGATGTAAAGCGTAGTATTTGAATTATCTCGTTGATAGTTTGACTAAATTTTTTGTCAGTCTTAGTTGTCATATGTGCATTCTATGCAGATTACATCGATATAACCATTATGACATAGTTTGATATAGAATGAATAGAATATGACCAGGATGCGCGTTTCCTTTGCAACTTATCGGCTGGATTGACCTGGATATCGGAGTTGATGTCCACCTCTGGTTTCGAATGCAACATCTTAAGCTCCAAACTTCAAAATGTTATTTGGACCCAGTAGCTGAATGAATAACTTGTTGATATTTTAAATCAAATATATTGTATTTGAATCGCGTAGTAAATATCAACTCTGGGATGCATGTAAATACAACTAACGTGTCCGAAATAGGAAAAACCGTACATCCTGAATTCCACCGCTAGCCATATTCAATCTACTCTATATGAATTACTTTTGTTTACTGTACACACTTCAAGCCATTGTCTACATCAGTTATGATAATATCGATTGCTTTTTATTCATTGATATTTAATCAATGTTTTGGTGGATACGCACTACTTACCTGTATCACTATCGAATAAAATATATTTCGATCCTAACGTCAAGTCTAAATAAAAGCGAATAAATGCTGAAGTATTTATTGGTTGGGTGATTTCTTAATTTTAGATTTAAAATGAATCTATTCACATTTAATTTATCCAGCATAAAATGTGTCCAATTCAGTGTAGCAATTCAATGAATGTGAATTGATGACGATAACAGATTGTGTGACGTCAAAATCACTCAAAATTATGGTTGGTTATTAGACAAATTGTTATTGGTGTTATTATACTTAGTTGAACTGTGTACACTAGGCCAAAAATGAGTGAATATGAAGTTCATACGCATTATTATAATTATTTCAGTCAGAAACACTAAATTTATAGTTAAATTTCATTAAAATCATCAACCTATTTGAGCTAAACCTCCACTTAGAACCTGGTAGCATTGGACTGTCGTTTCGTCCTCGTACAAGACTCCTCAGAAGTGCACATTCATGATACTGTGGGCGGCGATCAAACCCAGGACCTTCAATCTCTGATGCGAACACTTAATCTCTAGAAGACTAAATTGGCATTCAACAGTGTTAATGTCTAAGTTCAATCAGTCCACGTCATGGTATCAAAGAAACCCAACAATTTCCACAACCCATTACTGACAATATTCTTTTAAATTATGACAATTTATTCATTTAAAATCAGTTAATCCATTTTGATAAATTTGGGTAATGCAATAAGAGGTAGTTTATCAAAGGTTCGAGTTCTCATGTATGTATTTAAAAATAGTTTGTTCCCACCTTGAATCTAATCATAATATTGGTTTATTTTATCCAATGTGATGTGGTTCACATGGTTTTCAGTAAGAATTTGGTGTACTGACGAACTTAAAACAACCGCGAAGAATCTTCAGCCAATCAGGAGGGTTTTTGTATGTAGATAGTTTATGGGAAAGGAAACAATGATATTACTAAATGTAAACAGAGTTTACCTATTTAATTAATCTTTCAGTTTTCTACATGTTTCTTTCCTTTTAAATTGTATAGATATTGAGTAATAAACTTATCCCTATTAACATAAGATTTTCCATTTTTTCGACGCCTTATATGTACTCAACAGATTTATAATAGTCTCTACAATGTTCTTGGTTAAGTTTAGGTTCAATGGTTTTCATCACGAACTAATATCATTCACAATGCGAAACTGCTATGTAGCCGTAATGTTGGATAAATTCTGTACAGAAGTGAAAGGAACACTATCTGATTAGTTCGTTCATAAAATGTAGTGCCACCAGGTTAAGGATTGTTGCAGAATATAAAATGTCAGATTCTTTAGTTCGAGGTGTTGTCATGCCTTTTTTATTGATCGAACTAAAATCTCACTGACGATAACATAATTGTTACTTTATTAAGGAAATCGTTTGCAACTATGTAACATTTACAAGTGTTTTTCAATCAAGAATGTTT